GTCCTGGCAGCTTCACCCCGCTGGGAGGGGGGTGTTGCACGACTGGGGGTTTGCAGTTATTCCATCTCACTTTCAGCCTGAAATGCTCTCCCTCCTCCCTCCTCCCCGGGGCACGCGGGGTTGTTGCTCTTGGATTAAGGAGCTGCAGCTCCGAGGCTTTTCTCAAAAGCAAATACAACTTTTGACCTCAGTGAGGAGCAGATTTTGCCTGGATCCAAAGCTAGCAGCTCCATGAGGCTCCTGATGCCTCCTCCCTCTCATTCTCACTGCAGCCTCCTTGGAGAAAAACCTTTTTCTTCACAGAAAATCCCTCTGCTTTTGATGTTTTTCCCATTCTTTTTTATTTATCTCCTTGGGCAGAGCTCGCCCTTGGAATAACACCCCTCCACACTGCAGTGCCTGTATGTTCCTGAGGCTGAGCTTCTCCTGCATCTTGGATCAGCCACAGAACAGGCAAATCTGCAATTCCTTGTGTAGGTGATCAACAGAGAGGTTTGGAGCCCCAAGACTGAAAATTGGGCAGAAAATACTCCCAGGCTCAGGGAGGGTGGCCTGAAGCATAATCCACCTTCCAGCCCAGAGGAAAAATGGGGTTTGCATCCCTTCCTCCTTCTCCTTCTCCTTCTCCTTCTCCTTCTCCTTCTCCTTCTCCTTCTCCTTCTCCTTCTCCTTCTCCTTCTCCTTCTCCTCCTCCTCCTCCTCCTCCTGTTTTTCATCCTCCTCCTCTTCCTCAGAGTTATGACAGGCTAACAGCCCATCATAAGGAAAGGAGACTGGAAAAAAGCTGCCAGGTTCTGGCTCTGATGTCTAAAAGGTACAGGGGATTTTAAGAAAAGTAACAAGGAGCAGAATTGGGGCCAGGTGGGATCAAGGTCTGCAAGCCCTGGAGGTCCCCAGAGCAGCCCTGAGTGGAGCCCTGAGGTCAGTGTCCACCTGGATTCACATCCCTGGTTTTGTTTAGCAGGCAGAGGAAAATCTCCTGTGCTTCTGTGTCTTCCTCCATCTGAAAATGTAAACTATGGTAAAGTGTCTGCTTATAGTGTGACCTCTTCACTTGAGTGGGGGTTCTGTTCTGGGGTGAATTCCAGCAAACCACGGTGTTTACAAGGAAAATGCCTTTTTTTGGTGTTCTCATGCCCATTAAAAATCCTTGGGGGAGAAGCTGGGGAGTTTTCATGGCTCACCCAGGGAAATAATAAATATTCCTACTCCACTGTTTTAAAAAAATAAAAGAAAAAAGAAATTAACTGAAATAAATTTTAAATAATTGTTTGGTACCTCCTTTGGTGGTGCATCTGCTCTGAGTTTTAAACCATTGAGGTGTTGGGTTTTCCACCCAAACTCAGGTTTGCAGCAAACAGGAACAAACTCAGCCCTGCCAGGGCTTGGAGCTGGCAAGAGATTGGGTGCCCCAGGTCATAATTTTTAAATTCCAGGAGGGATTTAGCCCACTCTGGGGATAGGGCTGTGCTGGACAGACAAAACCCTTCCCGAAGGATTCTGGCTCCCCACCGTGGCAACAGCACGAGCTGGGCTGGGGAATGAGCCAGGGGAGGCAGCCCTGGGTGCTGAGGCTGGAGCTGCACGGAAGGTGATGGATGGGGCTTGGAGCAGCCTGCTCTAGTGGAAGGCACCCTGCCCATGCAGAGGGTTGGGTTAAACGGCCTTTAAAGCCCATTCCAACAGAACCATTCTGTGGTGGCCACTGGCAAGTGGGAGTCGCAGCCCCTGGGAGGTCCAGCTGCTGTTCCAGGAGCTGCTTCTGCACAGGGCTGGGGAAATGACAGTTCCTGTGAGGGACAGGCAGTCCCACACTTCCCCATGGTCACCCGGCTCTGTAAACAAGCTTCCATGTGCCTGGAGACAGATCAGAGCCCGGGACTCCATCCCTCTGCTCCTCAGCACGCTCAGGGAAAAGCCAAGAGCAATAGATTTATGGAATCCAAACATCACAAATGCAATTTATTTACACTGCTGACGCCAAAAGGAGAAGCAGATGCTTCTGGTTTGGATGCCTGTCCAGCCTAATTTCAGGAAAACATGGGGGTCAGTGTGAGGGAAAGGAAGGAATCAAAACATTGACTGTGTCACCCCCAGTTACAGTCCTGGTCCATCCCTGTCCCATCCTCGCAGCTGTGTGTGCCTGAACACAAAGCTCAGCTCTTCAGGAGCAGCCTCCAGAGCACACACAATCCCATTTTCCCTAATTCTGCAGTAAAATATCCATCCAGGATGCCTCCTGCAGGTCAGAGGGCTTGTCCTGATTCAAACCGCCCCGGGCACAAAGGAGTGGATAACCAGCCCCGGGGGATTTACCTGGCAATTGCAGCGTGCAAGGGAGAGGTCCCCAAACAAGGTCTGAACAAAGGGAAATTGTGTGGCCACTGAAAGGTGTGTTTGGCAACCAGATGTGGAGCTGGCTGTGACCTCCTGTGCCCCCTTGTGGGATCACAGACTGGTCCCTTGGGAAGACACCTTAAAGCCCTTCCAGTCCCACCCCTGCCATGGACAGGGACACCTTTCACTGTCCCAGGCTGCTCCAAGCCCCATCCAACCTGGCCTTGGACTCTTCCAGGGATCCAGGGGCAGCCACAGCTGCTCTGGGCACCCTGTGCCAGAGCCTCCTCACCCTCACAGGGAAGAATTCCTTCCCAATATCCATCTAACCCTGCCTTCCTCCATCCTAAAGCCATTCCCCTGTCCTGTGCTTGCTTTTCCCCAAGTCTCCCGGCAGTGCCAGAGCAAAGCCGGTTTTCCTTCGGGCTGGTTTGGTCCGCCTCTCCCAGCAGAGGGCACGATGTGCAAGCGAGAGCGATCCCGGCGCTCCAGGAGCGATTCCAGGAATGATGCACCAACGGGAACAAGAGCCAAGAGCCCTCAGACGGGACGTGTCGGACACGGCGTGTGGTTGGGGTGGCCAGGGCCACTCACTGCTCCCAGCCGGGGCCAAACACCTTCTTGCGCTGTCGAGAGCGCTTGGTTTGGTTATTAAACACCCCCGGAGGTCCTCTAAGTGGCATTCGGAGAAACGGCTGTGGATTCGAGAAAATGGAGCCAGCGTCTGTTAGAAGAAACCAAATTGCCCCTAATTTTCCGGAATTTTGATCTCAAAGAGCAACATTTCCTGAGAACGTTCAATGTCTTTTAACGTGATTTACTGCAGGGAGGAAACCCATCTCCTCAATTCAGTCGGCTCTGTGGGTGGTGTGAGGTCTAAATCCGAGTGTTTGGATTAGCGATGCTTCAGGAAACTCATCTCTAAAAAACGACTAAGTTGTAGGAAAACACCTTCCTGTCCAAGTCTTTCCTTCTCCCTGGATTATTATCAAACTTTCTTTGAAAGAGGTTTCCCAGAAAAAGTAGGAGAAAAATTCCTTTCTTGCCTTAATCATTAAGTAAGGCAAACATGCTGTGTAACATCAGCTCTAATTTTAGGATTTTGGTCATTCCTATGACATGGGAATTTCCCTTTCATGGGCATCCTTATGTATCTGTTCCAAAAAATCTTTTAGTTCACCTTTCTGCTTTCATGGTGCTGCTGCAGTGATGCAAGTCCTGACTGACACTCTCTTACAAGCAGTGAAATCTAAATAACTTTTCTTCCAAGAGGCAAAGTTTACACAAATCCAATGTCCTGGGAGAACCTCTTGTGAGAGGGAAATGCCTTCCTTCAGCTGCCCCATGCCAGCTGTGATCTGCCCATCTGTTCTTCCACTGGAATTTCCTTTTGCAAAGATGGCTGCATCTCCCTGCTCCCCAGAAAAGGCTTTTGTGGTCCTGGAGAGGATGGATTGGGGGTTTGGTGCGGGAAATAACTCCAAGATAAACACAGGTGGTCTGGAGAAGCTGTGGCTGTCCCATCCCTGGAAGTATCCACGGATGGATGGGGCTTGGAGAAACCCAGGATAGTGGAAAGTGTCCCTGGCCATGGCAGGGGGTGGATTAGATCCACGCTTTCCCACCCAAACCATTCCATGATTTTGTGACTCCAAGCTCTTGGCAAAGAGAGTTTCTGAGCTCTTTTGCAGAGAATGGCCTGACCCCACAGCCACAGCTACATCAACCACCAGGAGCCAGCCAAATCGACTCAGGGAATCATATCCAAGTGGAAAATAAAAATAGCTCATCTGCTTTAGCTGAACTGTACAAAAGGCTCTTTATTTCAAGGATTTGGGGTCTTCAGATGAGGATGTGAACAGGGGGAATGGAGGGTCTGTCCTTCACTGCAAAGTGCGTTGGGTGTCCCAGCCATGCAGATCTCTCCAGGACTGGTGTTCTGCCCCAGAATTTCCTTGTGGAACGTCTCCTTCCCTTTCGGCCTGACCACTGCCACAAACCCCAGCTGCTCTCAGGAGGGACACTGGGCCATCAGAGAATCATCCAGGTTAAAGGGATCTCCAAGGTCACCGAGTCTAACCTGAGCTGTTCCATGTGCAGAGGTGGCACCAGCCAAGGGAAAAGCCAAAGGCTGCTCATTCTGCTGGGAAATCACTTCCTCCCTTTCTGGGGGTGTGCACAGGGCAGCTCTTGGCCCTGAGGGACAGCAGGAAGGGCTTCCCCCCACAGCACCCATCAGCAGCACTGCAAAACCACCAGCAGCCCCTGGGTCTTCCCTGGTGGCTTTCTGCTGGCAGGGGGAACTCTTCCATTTATCACTTTGATCATCCTGTGCAGGGTTTTGTTTCCTCTCCATCTGCAAAGGTGATCAGAAGTGGGGCTGAGGGGGACCAGCTGCCAGGAACTGCACCACAGCAAAACTCTGAATCTGCTGAGATAGAGCAGGAGATAGAACAGCCCTGGTGTCACTGGGTTCTCTCTGACCCTCTTAGCCAATCAAGCAGTCAAACGTGGTCTAAATGTTCACTGTAAAAACCTTGCCAATGTGGGTGGTAACAAAATAATAATCTCCTCTAGATCTCTCTAGCAGAACCTCAGCAAAAAATACATAAATAATGTCCAGGCTTTAACAAAATGCATTTTTATTAATTACAGCACTTCAAGTAACATTTCATCTCTCCTGGGAGTCTCTCACTTCAGGCTTCAGGAGCAAGAACAGCTTATCACAGTGCATCAAGTTATTAGGACATCCTTCCTGCTGACGGGATCAGCTTTGATTGGGAATGTTCATCCAAGGCTTTAATTGACTTGATTACATTTCTCTCTGCTTTTACTGATCCCAAGCCCTTGGCAGAGCTTCCTTTTGAGTCTCCTGAGAAGCAAAGTCAGCACTCAGCACTTGCTGCTGGTGTTGCAGCCACAAGTTGGGGATGGCAGAAAGATCTGGGAATGGCACAAGGATTTGGGAAAGGCAGAATCATCTGGGGATGGCAAAATGATCTGGGGGTAGAAGAAAGATCTGAGGATGACAGAACATCTGTCAGAAGTTCAGTCTCTCCTCACCACAGCCTGTACCTGGAGGTCCCATGTGAAGTCAGGAGGATTTGGAAGTGCCCACGGCCATGTGTGCGTTGGGCAGCATCAGAGGTATCTGGAACACTTTGTGCTTTGCTGATAAAACCCCAGACTGTTGAGGGAATCCCAGGAATCACCGGCTGGGAACAGCTCTCACACATCTACCCAAGCTCCAGTGTGGTCACAAGGACATTGGTGGCCGTGATCTTCCACACACTGCCAGGGTGGGTGGGACAGCTCTGTTAATGCCAGCAAATCCCTCCCTGCCTCTAAACCCACAGCCATGGCATCACTGGAGATGCCTCTGGATGCAGTACATGGAACCCTCCACACAGGGGGGTTCTCAAACTCCCTCTCCTAGGGCTGAAGAAAACAGCTGCATTCCAGCTTTCCACCCTTTTATTTCTGAAGAAGGATGTGAGAGAAGCTGTTCCCTGCTTTGCTGTGACAACCTCCCAAGAACACCTCCAGGAATGTTCCAAGGTTGGGCATCTCAGCCCAGCTCTGTCCCAGGAACTCTCCAGGTGGGGCTGGTGCCCTGAGCCCACCTTGGACATCTTGGTGCTCACCTTGTCTCTCCATCCCACCTGCAGAGCCTGGGGTCACCTGAGTTAGGAATATTTTAGGACATAGATCCTTCAGTAAACAACTACACAAATCTTGGCTCAACAGATCCCTGAGGAAGGATTTAAGCACCCTTTTTATATAAAAAACAGTGGGGTTGATTTACAACCATGAAATGTCTTTTGTTTCACCTCTACAGTGAATAAAGTCTAAATAAACACACACCAGCTGTGGTGTCTTAATGCCAAGGGGCTCCTCGGCCCCAAACTCTTCTCAATAACAGCTCAACAGTACCAGGAATCAGGAAGGTTTAAACTCCCTGGTGGGTCTTGGTCCTGGTTATTGAACAGCTTCCAAATGGAATTGTGTTGAAGGGCCTTGTGTTGTTCCAGCATTCCCAGAAGGAACATCCTACTTGGATTTGAGTCTAGACCTGGGAGACATGCTGAAAAATATCTTGTAGTAGATGTAGACGTTGATAATCCTCAGCAGAATTCCCAGGATGTAGCTGAGGGACCTGAGCAGGGCCGCGGCCGCGCTGCAGAGCTGGAACAGGAGCCCCACAGGGCCGCGGGAGGGAGCGGAGGCACCGCCGGCCCTCAGGTGGTCATCCACGAGGAGCAGGGCACACTCTGCGGCCACCAGCGCCCAGACCACCCTGGACAGCAGCCTGGCGTTCCTGACTGTCCGCAGGGGCCGCGACTCCGAGGGCAGGAAGGTGATCAGGTAGGCCTCCAAGGCCACGCAGCTGAGCAGGACGCAGCTCACGTGGGCGTTGGCCGTCAGCAGGACCCGCGCCACGGCCGAGGCCGCGGGAGGGACAGCGGCACCAAAACCCCCTGAAACCACGTCAGAAACAAGGCTGAGCAAAACCAGGATGTCTGCCTGGGCCAGGCTGGAAATGAGGACTGCAGTGGACTTGGAGGAGACCTTGGCAGACTGCAGGAGGATCATGGTGTAGGCGCTGCCCAGCAGGCCCAGGAGGGTGCTGACAGCATTGGAGGAAGACAGGACGAGGTATTGGATATACTTCAGTGCCAGGTATCTTCTGAGATCTTTCATGTGGTCTCGCTCCATTGAAATGCCAGTTAGGGAAGAATACCTGGAATACACATAAAAAACCCCCATGATTAAATGTAAAATTAGCAGGATGGATTCCAGGCAAATTATGATGGACCTGTGCTTGTACAGGCACATTCTGGTGTCAAGAACTGCTTGGAGATGATGCCAGCTCAGGATCTGAGCTTGTATTTACACACTCATATCACAAATAGGAATGAAGTTTGTAAAGTGCCTGGATATTTTTAGGTAGCAGCATAATTTTTGTAATCCTGCACAGAAGGAGTGTAACTGTGAATTATCCCTGTCTCTGAAAGGGAGGAGCCAGAAAATTATAAGCTGCAGTTCCTAGAAAATACTGAAATCATCACTGAATTCAGTTCTAACAAATAAACAAGGAAATTGTTATCTAAGTGAGAGAGATGAGATAAGGAAAAACAGCGTGGGTTTCTCACAGATAAAGCAAATTGATTGAGCCCAGCTTCCTCCTGTATCAGGGTGATCAATCCTGATACAGGTGGGAATCAGCCAGTGTCACATAGCTTGAATTTTCTCAAGAACTTCAATATTGTTTCATGAGGCATTTTTAGGGAGGAGCAAGGTAAGAAATGTGGCCTAGGTGAAGCTGTGGTTAAGTCATACACAGCTGGATGGGAAATTGAGGGAAGGCTCTGTTCTCAGGAATTTGAGGAATGATGTGTCAAGTGGGGCTCTGCAGAGATCTCATATTTTGTGGTTTTCATGAACTGCAAGAAGGAACTCAGCAGAATTTAGGCCTTGACTGAGGTGTGTGACCAGTTTTAAGAGCAACAGCTCAAAAAAGGTGTCACTGAAGAAGTTCCAAGGAGGCTGATCCTCAGAGATTGAGCCGAGTGTAGCAACTCCATTTCCCTCCTACTGAGCAATCATCTCCATATGTAAATTCCCAGAATTCCCAATGTCAGCACCTTGGAGCTGGTGTTACAGAGATTTTCCAGTGCATTACCCAGCAGGTCTGAGTGCTTGCTTAAGTCATCACCTTGGTTTAATTTTGCTGGGATGATGGGAAGATGATAATCCCGAGTGATTCCCATGAAATGTACGGAGACAGGTTTTTGAGACTGGGATTCCCATTGCTTGTAGAGACTTGACTGGTACCAGGTTGACTCATCTGAGATTCACATGTGCCTGTTCTCCTTTGTCTTTGAAATGTTTGATCCAACTTGCTGAGGGATTACTTTGGGGAAGAAGTAGGAAAAGATTTCTCCCTGTATTTCAGCTGACTCAGCTCATCCTACCCTCCCTTCCCACAGTGATTAAGTGGAAAACGATTCTGCATTTTGTGGCAAAAGCAAATGATCTTAGAGGTCTTCTCCACCCTTAATGACTCCATTATTGGTTTGGCCCTTTGTTTTGATACAGAGCACCAAAGCAATTCCAATCTAATGGAACAAACCCTGAACCCACAACACGGAACTCGTGCAAGTCCCCAGCTCCAAGAGGAGGAGAACCAAGCCATGACATGTACAGCTGAATCCTGATTTATCTTCTTATCTTCAAGCAAGTTACTCCTTTGAAAGGTAAGGATGTCCTGTCATTATATTTTTTTCTTGCAACCTACTTCTGTGTCCATTTTAATGAATTATATTTTTGAGGAGATAAATCACGTGCCTTGATAAAGATCTTTGCTCGTTTTAGGAGCTGGATTTACAGCAGATCTTATCTATGTGGAGTGTTTGAACTCAGAGCTTCTGGACTTTGGCTCCTACCTCGCCCCAGGGTTTGGTGATGAGCCCAAGTAGGAGCGTTAGAAATCCAGAACAGCTGGAGAAGCCAGGGGAGGTGCCCAGGGCAGAACCCTGAGGAGCTCAAAATGTTTCTCCCATCCTCTCTGCTTGAAACTTCAGCATTTTCCATAGTGCTGCTGGCATTTTCTGAACACCACAGTGTCCTTTGGGAAGGAGCTGGAGCTTCTGGCTGGAAGGTGCCTTCCTGTTCTCTGTTGGTGACAGCCAGAGGTGTCTGTCCCTTCATTCCACGGCTGCCCCTCGAGGCAGGGTTGCTGCCAAGGCTCCCTCCTGCTCCCTCCTCCTCTTCCAGACTATAATTTAGGGGTTAAAACTGTCATCCAGAATGCAGCAGAGCCAGGTTTGATTTCCTCCTTTGCCTCAGGGGTTTGAGATGTTTATCTCCTGTGGGTGGATGGGGATTGTCCTCGTGCCTCCCAAGGAATCTGGGCACAGTGTGAGAAAACAGGTGACACCCCTGGCCAAGGGTCGGGATCAGGAGCAGCCCCATGGGTCACCACACAGGCATTTGCACATGTTTGATAGGGAAGAGACATCCCAGTTCCTGGCACTTGCTCCAAGTGCTGTTTGGATTGATCTGCTCCTGTGAATGAAGCAGAGCTGGGAGATGTTCCCAGGTGCTGGAGCTCCATCCATGGAGAGCTCCAGAGGCCCCTGGCAGAGTTGTGGCACTGCCAATGCACACCCTCCATGGGGACAGGGGCTGGGCTGTGGCAGCAGGAGGCAGGGAATGCTGCCCACCCCACAAGGAGGCTGTGAGGGCACAGTCCCTGCTCCTGTCACCAAATCAGTGCCAGAGAGCGCCCTGGGCACAGCCCTGGTCAGACACAGCCTCTGCACAGGTAAGAGAAAGGTAAAACTGGGTGAAGAGCAGGTGCAGGAAGAGAGCACAAGCAGGGGCTGAAGCCACAAACTCCTCCTGTGTGGCTCACCTGAGCTCCCACTGCCAGGATCCCATCCACGGCTTCCTCCAGCTGGGAAATCCCACCAGCCCCAGACATTTGGTGAGGAGAGAGCAAACCCTTCCCTCTGTCTGCACCTGGGCAGGTGGGATCACACCAGCTATGGGGACAAGAGTGGGGAGCTGTTTCCTGAGTGTTTCCTGAACGGCCACACGCAGTGAAGGAGGAAACCTGAGCTTCACCCATTTATTTACAGTTTTCAAAGCAGCTCTTGTGGCCTGTGGTTCAGGTCACCCACAAGAGGATTCCTGGGGGCAGGGACACTTGGACAGTTTTTGGTCAGATGAAATCCAAGTTTATGATCACACAAGATTTCCTGAACGAAATGAATCTGTTTTTTCAGTGTGCTATTTTTTTATTTCTACAGAAATCTCTCCTGACACAGTTCCCAAATTCCAGATAATAATAACTGCTTATTTGTCGTAAATACATTGTTGTAATCTAAGGGGTACCCAAAAATACCTCCTGCTCTTAAACAAGTAATTCCTTTCAAAATTCCTCCTGGAACGATGTCAAAGAATATAGAGAAGAGGAGAACAAATTAAAAAGGCAGATTAGCACTGAATATCCCAACTGTAATGAGGTGCTATTCCTTATTTGAAAAGGAAAAATACTTACAATTGCTGGAAGAAGCAGCCAGTGATAGTTTTCTGCATCCCTGCCCTCTGTGTGATGTCTCAGCAGAGCCGAAATGTGCTGTTTCCCTTGGAATGATTCCTGGTTTTTATACAGAGCACCCCGTGTTCGGCTCCACGTCACAGCTGGGGCCACGGGATTTGTTTTGCTGGGCGACTTCCTCCAGAGCTGGTTTCACAAGGATTACTCACTGGAATCATGGTGCCCATTAACTTTCAGCTGTCTGGAAAAACTGATGGCCTGAGTGGAAAAGGAGTCCCAGACACTTCCTCACACACAGGCTGGAGCAGATCACAGGGAGCCATGCCGGGCTTGTCTGGGTGCTGCATGGGCCAGCACAGGTTATCCTCCCTCTGAGCACAGAGGGGATGTCCCTGGCACGGCTGGACCGGGCTATCCCGGGATTGTTTGTGTTGGCGTTGCCTGGGATACCCAGGTTTGGTGCTGCTGACGCTGCACTCCCTCTCCTCATTGTTCTCCATGGTCGGAGCCGAGTCCTTCCCTGTCTCAGGAAATTTCCTCCTGGAGCATCGGTGAGCAGCAGAGGGGCAGAGGAGCATCCCACAGGCACGGGGGGGAGCAGCCAAGGGACACATCCCCAGCCACACACGGAGCACAGCTCCCAGGCTGTGCCTGCTGATCCCACTCCTGCACCCAGGACCTGGAAGGCAGTGACTCTGCCTCGGCTCTGATCAGCCAGGAGGGTTCACTGCTGCCCCACACCAGCCCTGCCATTCCCTCAGCCCTTCCTGAAGCCGTGGAGAGCTGTGGAAGGAAAAAGCAGTGGAAATTTCACTCCACCTGCAAAGGATGGTGCAGTGCTCTCCTCCTCACCTGGAGACACTGCCAAAGGCACCCTTGGAAACAGGCACTGGGCTGGGTGGCAATTAATAGAATTTGTGCTTGGATTTCATGTGTAATTATTCATTTTTGTATTTGATTCCAAGGAGTGGATTTTGCCAGGGACTCTCCATAGCAGTTCTGTGTTTTAACTTTTGCTCTACTTCACAACTTCTATTATCTTTTACAAGTCCTATTCTATTTCACAACTTCTGTTGGATTTGCTTATTTTTCTTGCCTGCCACGATGATACAACAGAACCAGCAGCTGCAAGAGCACAAATTCTGCAAACTGGCCACACTTTCCTCAGCAGCTCAAAATTTCACAATGATTTGGGGACAGATAAGATGAACCCACCATCTCCCAGGGCACCACCCTATGGTGAGAGCTTCCCCTGCACCACCCACCCTGTGAAAACAGCAGGAAACTCCTTTTTGGGGAGAGGAGGGAGACTGAGATGGGGGATCTGGCCCTGGCTGTGCCCAGTTTCACCAGCCATGGGGAAGGTGCTGGAATCTTTAATCAGCTCAATTATTTCATCTATTCATCTTTACCTCCCCCATGGCTGGTGGCTCCTCCTTGAACCCCCCTAGTGCCTCCACAAACAGAACAAACAGAGCTTTCCCAATTAATTTCTGTTTGCTGGGAGCTGGTTCCCAGTATTTTTCCATAACCTGTTTATTTTGTGCTACACCTTTGTTTGAAGGCGGTGCCCAGCTCCCTGCAGTGATTGCAGTGCCCTTTACAGCTGAGAACTTTCTCTTCCTTTTCTTTCTTTTTATTTTTTTTCCCTCAGCTACTGAAATTAATTAGCATTCAGGACTATGTAAGAAAATTTCAGTTTTCTTCTGTCTGAAGCACTTCACTCTTCACTTTTTATCCATGAGGGTTTCCAGCAATTTTCCCTTGCCATCTCATAGAATCACAGAATAATGGAATCACAGAGTGCTGTGGGTTGGAAGGGAGTTTAAAGCTCATCTCATCCCAGCCACGGGCAGGGACAGCTTCCACTTTCCCAGATTGCTCCAAGCCCCATCCAACCTGGCCTTGGACGCTTCCAGGAATGGGGCAGACACAGCTGCTCTGGGCCCAGGGCAATGACATCATCTGAATATTTTGTAATTTTAGGAAGTTTTTTAAACACACTTGAAGATTTCGAGGAAATTGAGGGAGGACAATTTTCTTTGCAAATAACTTTGCAGTTTGGTGCTACAAACCAGGTCCTGATTCCTGTTCCTTGGTGCTTATCCAGTTATCTGGTCCTGATGGTTCCATCCTGATCCCTGGGCTGATTGATGGCTCTGCTACTCACAGTCTGGGCTGCTCTTCTCATGCTTTACCTTGGTTTTATTTTCTCTTGGTTTGTTTGAGAAACCAGAACAGCTCCTGTATGATCTTCACCCACGATATCCTGGTTTTCCCCTCATGAAGGGTCTCCTGCCTGGACATCTGACTTGACATCATTTCCCATCTTTATTTTCCTCAGAGAATGTGCATTTCTTCAGCACCTTTTGTGATTTCTCCCGAAGTTCTCCACAATTCCGCCTCTCCTTTACCTGGCAGAGTTCAAGAAGCTCCTTTTCAAAGTCAAACCCAGCTGAATAATTGTCTCTTCTGGCTGGAAAAGGGAGAAGGAGAAGCCAGTTAAGTATTTGCAGGTGTGAGGAGAGGTTGGGTGACACTGGGCAGAGTCTGGAGGGCAGGAGTGACCTGTCACAGCTCCCACTGCCACCAAGCCACAGCCAGAGCCCCACTGGCAGCAGAGCAGCAGGAGGCTCCCAAAAGTGCTGAGCTGACCTCCATGCCCTTCCTGATGGGAAACCAGCAGATCCTGCCTGCTGGAGAAGCAGGAACTGGCAAGGGTCAACTGTCCCTGCTGGCTCAGGTGTGGATGTGTGACCTGGCTGTACCCTGTCCCTCTCTCAAGAACATGAGTTTCCTTTTTTCACCTTTTGGAAGAGCTCATCAACAAAGGGAATCATCATCTTGCTCGTTTTATTGTCATTATTCTCCATTTTCAGGGTAGAAAAGGAAATTACCTTTTAATGAGAGCAAATGAGGGGATAAAGCATTACTAATGGAATGTTTGTGCCTTGTGGAGAGTAATTCCAGACATAAAACAGGATTTCATCAGCCCCTTCTGAAAAGCTGGCAGGAAAGATTTCCTTACAGGGAAACAGGAACAAGGTTGATGGCACAATCCTTTTTGTTAAGGTGTAGAATGGATCAAGATTACAGAAAAAGTGCATAAAGAAGCGGTGGTGATTCATAGAACTGAGGGGAAGGACTCGGTGCAAGACATTTAATGCAAATCTCAGTGTGCTCTGCCTTCCTCCTTCACTAATTCCCATTTCCAGGGAAGGAAGAACAACACTTTGGGACACGCCCTTCTTCCAGAAGCTGAGGTGGAAATTCCCACTGCTGCCCTTAGCTGAAATTTCGGGAATAGCTTGAATAAGTTGGGAAGTTCTCAGCTGACAGCTGTTCTAAGGAATCGTGCAGGGATGGCTGAGCTTCCCCAGCCCTGCTCAGCTCCTCGGGGCTCTCATCCTGCAGAGCTCTGCCCCTGCCTGCTCCAACCCCTCCCAGGAAATCCATGGAGCTCCTGGACTTCCCCTGTGACGTGCCAGGGTCAGACCTTTGTTGGATTTCTCTCTGCTCCTGTTGTGGTTTCACCTCAGTCTCTTGCTCATGTCCGAATGCTCCTCCTCATATGAGTCTGGTTGCAGTTAAACTCTGTGCTTTCCTTTGAGTCACAATATTCCACTGCTCAGCTCATCCCCAGGGATGAGGCTGGCAGGAATTTCCCTGGAAGCCACAGATTTCCTCCATTTTCTGCTGAACTCATCCATCTTCCCCACCCTCACGCTCCCCCCATCCTGGCTGGGCTGTCTCCATCCCCACCATGGACCCGTAGCAGGAAATTATTTCCATACAGGGTTTTCCTCAGCCACAAATGTTACCACTTTTACCACTCCAGTGCTCTCCCCCATCCCGCCAGGAGGGATCCAGAGGCAGTGTGGTGCTGGGATTAATCCAGGACATGGTGCCAGGGCCACTTCCACAGGGAGGTACCAGCCCAGAGGGGTCAGGCAGAAGTGACATCCTCCCATGGCTCATCCATGATTTATCTGGAGTAGGGTTTCTCAAACATTTACACCGTGCTGTAAAGTGAGAGCAGAGCAAACACTCATTGCAGTGGTGGGGAGTAAATGCAAAGTCATTGGAAAAGCCCAAAGGAACTTTTGGGATTAGAAAAAGATGATGAAGGAATGGCTGGAGTGTGGCAGGATTGGAGCAGGTGAAGCCTGAGCTGAGCAGGGATCTCTGAGAGCTCCCTCAGAGCCCACCAGGGACAGCTCCAAAGCCATGACCCATCTGCATCTGGATCTTCAAACAAACCAAACCCTTCCTCCACAGGGAGCTGAAAGCAGTGCACGAGGAATTACTGCTCCCAGAAATCTCTCCTGTATGAACACTGGTTGTCTTCAGCTGGTGAGGACAAAGTTGTCGGAAAGAAAAATTTATTATTCCTTTAACAAACAATTCTAGGAGCTATTTTGGGTGTTATTGTTGCATAAAAGAATAAAAGAGGAAACAAATTCTGTCCTATATTCATGCAATTCCCGTATCAGCAAATGTGTTTGCTTTGGACAGATGACAGGAATTAGGAAAATGTTTCCTAGTGGGACCACACAGATGGACAAAAATAACTGGTATAGAAAATCACCTAATTAAGAGAGTGACCCAAGTGTGCTGCTGCAAAATTTTGGGAGATCTGAGCTGCCAAAATGGGAAAATCCTTTTGGATCATGAAAATCCTCAATTCCCTGCAAAGTCCGGCTAGGATTTCAGTTTTCTATGGCTAAGGCCAATTTGGGTTGAGAGCTGGGAGAGCTCCCAAAGAGCTGGGACAGCTGTAGCTCCTGTGGTCCAGGGGAATGGAGGAAATAGAGGAAGATGTTGATTTCTGCTCAAAGAAATCCTGGTCATCAGTGCAAGCTGGTATCAGGATTTCCGGGCCTTATCACTTGGCAGGTCACAAACTCTGCTGCAGCTGATAAAAGATCTGGGGGCAGGGGGAGAGCCACATCTGTTACACGGGGCATTGCCACACATTTTTGTGGGGGGTTTTAGGGCCTCGTGAGGGTTTTTCAGAAGAAACTGCCTTTCCCTGGCAGCTGAAGGTGCACAGGTGTCACCCGTGTCCCCACAGACCCAGGACAGTGCCAGTGGTCA